GCCATCAGAGACATGCAAATCAAAACCACAATGAGATACCATCTCACACCAGTTAGAATGGCAATCATTAAACCGTCAGGAAACAACAGGTGCTGGAGAGGATGTGGAGAAATAGGAACACTTTTACACTGTTGGTGGGACTGTAAACTAGTTCAACTATTGTGGAAAACAGTGTGGCGATTCCTCAAGGATCTAGAACTAGAAACACCATTTGACCGCAGCCATTTCTTCCATTGCATTGGTTTATACAGTATCATAATCATGCTTGGCTATAACAGGACCACACTGGCCATGTATTGATTTATTGCGGCACTGTTCACAATAGCAAAGACTTGGGAATAACCACAATGTTCTCAGTGGACAGGACTGGGATTAAGGTAACTTGAGGTAAATTAATACACCATGGGAAATACTATGCAGCCATAAAAAAGGATGAGTTTGTTGTTCCTTTGTTACAGGGACATGGAATGCAGTTGGAACCAATCATTCTCCAGCACACTAGCGCTAAGGAACAGAAAACCGAACACCGCATGTTTCTCACTTCATAGCGTTGGGAAGCTGACAATTGAAGATCACGTTGAACACGAGGGAAGGCGGGAACCATTCACACACAGGGCCCTGTTTGTGGGGGGGTTGGCTGAAAGCGGATAGCTTGGAGATATACTATGTATAAATGACTGAGTTAATGGGTACCAGCACACCAACATGGCACATATATTTAACATATGTTACCAACCTTTGCACTTGGGGCCATGTACCCTAGAACTCAAAGTACAAAAAAAAAAAAAGAAAAAACACACTGAACGGGATCACGCATAATTACGCTTTTCTGGCGTTAGGTACCAGAAATGTTAAAGGAAGGTTTCTTGAGGATGGAAAAGAAGAGGATGCTAATTAGTAAGATGAAGTTGTTAAAGTATAAAACTTACTGGTAAAAGTAAGTACAACATGAAATTCAAACACTCTAATACTGTAATGGTGATGGGTAAATATAGCTAGCATGAAGGTTAAAAGGCAAAGGTACTAAGAACAACTGAAGCTACAAACTTTATTAAGAGATACCAATGATTGAAAGATGCAAAGTATGTGATCAAAGACAAAACGTGGAAGGAGCAGAGTGAAATTTAGAGATTTTATATGTAATCAAAATTCAGTTTCTATCAACATAAAATAGCCTTTTATAATATATGTTATGCAAGCCTAAGGATAGCCACAAAGCAAAACCTCTAATAGATACACAAAAGATTAAAAGAAAAAATCCTAAGCATATGGCTACAAAAGTCATCAAACCATGAATAAAGCAAGCAAGAGAGAAACAATGAATTTAAAAAACAACCAGAACACAATTAACGAATTGCCACTATAAATCCTTACCTATCTAAAATTACTTTACATAGGAATGGAATATATTCTATAATCAAAAGGCATAGAATGACTAAATAAATTAAAAATTAATACGCAATTATAAACTGCTTACTTAACTGTAAGGTACATTCATAGATTGCAGTGAAGGCATGGAAAAATCTATAAAAAGAAAAACTAAAAGAGAACAGGGGTAGTTATACTCATTTCAGACAAAATAGACTTATGGGAAAAATTGTATAAGGGTACAAAGAAGGTTATTATATAATGATAATGTGGTAAATTTGTCAAGATAATACAAGTATTTTAAACCTATATATGCACTCAACATCAAAGCAACTAAATATATAAAGGAAACATTTAGCAATCTGAATGGAGTTGTGGACTGCCACATAGTAATAGTAGGGGATATCAATATTTTACTTTCAACATTGAGACAGATCATCCAGACAGAATATCAATAAGGAACCATTATACTTGAACAATAATTTATACCAAATAGATTGGACAGACACACAAAGAACATTCCACATAACAACAAAACACATATTCTTCTCAAATGCACACAGAATATTCTCCAGAATATATTATATGTTAGGCCACAAAACAAGTCTTATCAAATTCAAGAAGACAGAAATTATATCAAGTCACTTTTCTGACAACAAAGGTATGAAAGGAGAAATCAATAATAGGAAGAATTATGGAAAATTTTAAATTAGGTGAAAATTAGACAATATGCTCTGAAACAATAATAGGGTCAAAACATTTCAAATAAATTTAAAAATATTTTGAGAAAAGGAGAATGGAAACAAAACGTAGCAAAACTTATGAGATGCAGCAAAAGTAGTTATAAGATGGACGTTTTTAGGAATAATTGCCTACATCAAGACAATGGAAAGAACTCAGATAAACAATTTACTAGTACACCTCAAAGAAGCAGAAAACCATGAACAAACTAGTCAATTCCAAAATTAGTAGAAGGATAGAAATCATAAAGATCAGAGTAAAGTAGAGCCCCCAAAGCAGTACAAAATATCAATGAAAGAATAGTTTTTTTAAGATGATAAAAAATTGACAAAGCTTTAACCAGAATAACTAAAAAAGAGAGAGATGGCTTAAAGAAACACACAATTGGAGATGAAAAAGGTGACATTACAACTGATATCACAAAAATATAAAGAATAATGAGAGACAATTATTAGCAATTATACACCAACAAATTAGATCATCTAGAAGAAATGGATACATTTCTAGACACACACAGCCTACTAAGATTAATTCAGAGGAAATAGAAAGTCTGAACAGAGTAATCATGAGGAAAGAGATTAAGTCAGTAATAAAATGTTTCCCATCAAAGAAAATCCAAGACCCGATGGTTTCATTGCTGAATTGTAACAACATTTTAAAAGAGCTAATACCGACTCTTTTAAAACGACTCCAAAACTTTTAAGAGATCATTTCTCTAACTCATTGTAGTGGCCCAATATTACTCTGAAACCAAAACCAGACAAGGACACAACGCAAAAAGAAAACTACAGGCAAAATCCCCTGATGAACATAGGTACAAAATCCCTCAACATTATACTAGGAAAACAAATCCTACAGCACATTAAAAAGATAATTCACTATGATCAAGTGAGTTTAATCCAAGGATTGTAAAGGTGGTTTAACATAGGCAAATCAGTAAAGGTGATGCATCACATTAACAGAAAGGACAATAACCATACGATCATTTTAATAAAGCTCTATAGAAGTGCTAAAACTATAAAACTTCAAGAAAAATCTGTAGAACATGTACACTTCACTGCATGTATATATTATTTGCTTCTTTAAGGACTCTAAACATATTGAAATGTCGATAGTAGATTAGTTTTTGTATTGGTTGTCAATGCTTTCTGTTTTTCCTAGACTGGCAGATACTGGTAAAAATATTGAAGCTAGTGAGGAAAGGAACGCCACAATTGGAGAGCAAAATACATGTATCAAATGTGGGAAGACTGGAATAAACCCTACACTATTCAAGTGAAATTGTATGTGTCAATATGACTAACTTTTCAATATAGATAAACAATAAATTAATAGATAAATAGATGATTAGGTAGATGAACAGATAGATGAATAGAGAGATAGATTAAATAAATGAATCAATGGAAATAAATATAGATACATACATAAATACACACATACACAAACAGATACATAGTAGTTATTGGCATAGACAGAGGTATAGGCACAGGAACATTTGTTGACAAGGAAAGGAATGAGAAGCACTGGTCCTCCAACAGTAATTATGATATGAAGTGCCTGATTTGTGTGTGGGCGTGTGTGTGTGTTTTATACTAAAGGTAACTAATTCACATGGCACAGTTAGTATTAGGAACAATGTTTTCATTAGTTTCTAAATTACCTGCCTTATTCAGGAGCATTTGTAATAATGAATAGTTAAAGTTTTTAAGACACACATATATAATACTTTTCCAAATGAGAAATAGAATACTTTTCTGAAAACAAAATAAGAGCTTACTTGAGCAGGTCACTTCCGGATCCCACCTTCCATTTATGCAGACTGCGTGTAGGCGTTCTCCTTTTCCTCTACATCTGTACCTCATGGTAGAATTATGATCGAATTCCTTCTTGCTTGTTAAATTTTCCACAATTACAATTGAATTTGGTGATTTGCACTTCTTAAGTTGATCTGTTGCTATAAAATAAATATATTTTTATGAAAATTCAAATTATAAAAATAAAACCAACTATCACATAAAAATAGTTACAAAGTAAATAGTATTAGCATCATAAAATTATGAGTTATCGTTATAAATTTCACCAAGTTATTCCTGATTACATTGCATCAAAATGCTATTATGTAAAAATATAAGCTCTGCATTCTGTCGCTGAAATGTTAGAGATATCTATCATAAGACATTTTGTTCTTTGGGAAATACAAAATATTATTGGATATTTCATTGGATGAATAAGTACGACTGGACATTTAGGACTCTTAGAATTAGGACCCAGGAAAATTTAGGAAATAACTCAGTTTTAGAGAAAAATGAATGAGGGTCCCCAAGATCCTCCCGGTTAGTCATCAAGGAGGCAAAATGATTTTAAAGATTGTAAATCTCAAGTCGCACTGTAAGTGAATCACCTTACCTTCTTGCTGATCAAGACATGAGACTTACAGTGTGAAGTCCATCAATGAGATTTATGTCCTGACTCAGTCTCTGACTACCTCACGTCACTTAGCTATATCACTGACATAGAGGGCCTGTGGCCCACCAACCCTGCAGCACATTAACTTATTTTGGTTGATATGGAACAAACTGAAAAATTATTGCTTTTGGAAGCCTTAAGAGAGAAAAGAATCCTATGGGAGAGTAGTAAGTAGATATTTTGTCAACTTTGTTTCTTTGCTTTGCAGTGCCAAAAAGGAGTACCATATAATAACAATAATATTTTTATTTTATATAAAACAGTTATAATTTCTCAGTAATAGTACTCATATTTAATCATATGACAAATTTTTAATATTTTAATTTTTTAAAGAAAGAGTCTTACTCTGTCGCCCAGGCTGGAATGCACAATAAAGCTCACTGCCATCTCGAACTCCTGGCCTTAAGCGATCATCCCTCCTCAGCCTACTGAGTAGCTGGATTACAGGCATGCACTACCATACCTAACTAATTACACGAATTTTTTTTATAGAGATGGGCTTTTGCTATATTGCCCACACCAGTCTCTAGCTCTTGGCCTCAAGCATTCTTCTTGCCTTGGCCTCCCAAAGTGTTCGGAGTATAGGCGTGAGCAACCACCCTGGCCTCACATGACAATTTTATAAGTAAAATGTTGCTTCATGCTTTTACATATAAACAATACTGATATCAGAGGCAGAAAGAGTCATAAAATTATATTGCTAACTTTATTTTTTCTCTCTAGACACACGTTGAATTATAAACAATATGAGAAAGATTGGTTTCATTATATTGAAGACTGGACATTTTGAGCCATATCTGTAAATTTCAAAAATTCAGTTGCTAATATTGTTTTTACAATAAAAATATTAAACTTTATTAAATGTTGATTTAAGAGGTGTATTCTCACCCACACACTGAGGAAGTTGGGTCCATACTCCATGAATACACGTAATTGATCTGTGCCCAATCATTGTAAATGATTCTGAGCAATTGAACTCCACCGAATCTCCATAGTAATAAGGAGGGGAAGAAAGCTCGGAATAGCCGTGTTCAAGTTCAGGTATATCTCCACAGGTACTCTCCTCCTCTATGTAAATTTTACAAAAAAAGTTTATTGTGAAAACATGATTTATGTGTTTTAGATACAAAATACAAAAGTTTTGACAAATCTAAATATTAATATTTTATACATTACCGATACACACTGGTAAAGTTGTCCATGCTCCATCAACACATTGAATTTTATTAGGTCCCTTCAGTAGAAATCTAGGATTGCAATAATATTCCACCACTTCACTGTGTCTATATTCTTCTTTCGTTTTTTCCTTAACATTCCCATTGAGGAGTTCAGGAGGTGGACCACACGACTGTACTTGCTCTATAGTAGAAATACTATGTAAATAATGGTTAAATTGTCTGTTTTACAATATAAAAATTCAGTAAAATGGAAAGACTTTCTTCTTTTATTCATGTATTCTTCATTATGTAACTTATTACAGCATTGTAAACAATCAAGAATGGTGTTCATATTGTATTACTTATACTAAATTGTCATATTGAAGGTATGATAAAAGGTTAAAATATACTCAGACTTCCAGATATCTTAAAGATGCAAGAAAATCAATTAGCAAATGTGGTTATGAAAATCATGTTAATTTTTACCTTTCACGGAAACATTTTGTCATAACATTTTGGAAAAATATCATAACTGAGGCAATATTTGATCAACATACTTTAAGTTTGACTAATCAATACAAGCAACTGAATTGAATATAAACTGCTTAAATATTGTTTAGACACACTCAGTGAAACTTAAGTTACAGCTCACACTATATAAAATGTCCAAAATGGATGCTGACATTTCAGGCAAAATGAAAATTTACAAAGAAATCCCTCCATTGTCAGCCATGCTATGGTTTAAATGTTTGTCACTTCTAACCCCATGTTGAAACTTCATCCCAAATGTTTCAGGCGGGGCCTAATGGGAGATGTTTGGGTCATGGGTATGGATCTCTCATGAACAGATGAATGCCCCCACTCAGGGAGAGTTCTCATTCTATTAGTTCCTGCAAGAGCTGGTTCTTACAAAGAGCCTGTCACTGCCCTGCTCTCTCTCTTGCTTCCTCTCTCATCATGTGTTCTCTGGACACACTGGCTCCTCTTTCCCTTCTACCAGCATTCTGTGGCTCTCACCGAATGCAGATGCCCAATCTTGAATTTTATAGTCATGAGAACAGTGAGTCAAATAAAACATTTTTATAAATCATCCAGCCTCAGTTATTCCTTTATGGAAACATAAACCTAAAGTAGACTAAGACTGACAACACCTGTGTGTCTAAGAGCACTTCTAGTACACCGTTCAAGAAACAATGGAGATTAACTTAAGTAACTGAACCTTAGGTATTCGGTACCCAACACATATCCTTCACAGGCAAATCTTTGACTTAATTCATTAGACAATAGAAGCCCAAAATAAATAAAGAAAACAAATTTGGTATTCAAAGTTCTAATTCTTATTTCAGCAATTGTAAGATAAGCATTCACCTTTACATGTTGGGAGATCAGGAGATAATCCAAAGTGGTAGCACTGAACTGAATTCGGTCCAACTCTTGTAAATCCTAGTTTGCAGGAGAATTTCAACACCTCTCCAACTTTATACTGTTCTTTCTTGGGATCAGGAAGTAAGTGTACATCTATTTTAGGAAGTTCACATTCTCTTTCTGAAAAAAGGTAAAATAATTTCATGAGAATATACAATTAATCGTTGCCAAAGTAAATTTTACATGTGCCACAATAAAGCCAGGTTGATACTGGGTATACAGAAGGGCATCAGATAAATCCTTTTCCCTGTAAAGAATGCTACATATTATGTTTTATATACTGTCTAAATTGAAATGGAACTTTATGATAAATGTTACGGTATTGAAGTGTATCTGTTCTAAAAATTAATTTGTAAATTCAACTTATTTACAATGAAATTAGTTTTAATCACTGATATTTATGAAATTTAATATTACTTTTTTTACTCAAAACATGAAATTACTCTCTCATATTAAAAAAGACTAATTTGGCCTGGCGCGGTGGCTCAAGCCTGTAATCCCAGCACTTTGGGAGGCCGAGACGGGCAGATCACGAGGTCAGGAGATCAAGACCATCCTGGCTAACACGGTGAAACCCCGTCTCTACTAAAAAATACAAAAAACTAGCCGGGCGAGGTGGCGGGCGCCTGTAGTCCCAGCTACTCGGGAGGCTGAGGCAGGAGAATGGCGTAAACCCGGGAGGCGGAGCTTGCAGGAGCTGAGATCCGGCCACTGCACTCCAGCCTGGGCGACAGAGAGAGACTCCGTTTCAAAAAAAAAAAAGACTAATTTACAATTTTAAAAGTGCATATAGACCAGAATTGGGGCTTTTTAAAAACAAGATGGCTGAGTAAGGAGTTTGGACACCAGTTCTTCTCAGAAAGAAGAACCAAAGTTACAGGAAAATGTTCATAACTTGAAAAATATCAAAGAGAGGGTGCAGGAGCGTCATAGAGAAATCATGGAGAAAAGCCAAAGCATGGAAAGAGATAGAAGCAAGAGCCTCAGAGGTTGACTAGGATCCTGTGGGACTTCATAGGCAATGTAGGTAGGAGTCTTTTGGACTCCCTGCAGCTCACCATGTGAATCCAAGCTGTCGAGAGCTCTTCTGCCTTCATGAACCCACACACTGGTGTGAGTGGAGATTTGGGAACTTCTTGAGGGCATTACACCAAACTGCTAGCTTGAACAGGGTCATTTGCCTTCCCCTTGGACCTAAGCTACAGTGGTAGGCTTCATGCCTGTAGTGCACTCATGTGGGGACTGTATCCTACACAGGAACCTCAGCCCTCTGATCCCATAACACCAGAGCCGCACAGATATTCCCTGGCACCTGGTTGGATGTGGCAGTCCCCCATAGCTGGTTGGACCCAAGGGAGTTACAGCATTCTCAGTAGTTTAACCATCAGGGAGTGCTATTCCTAATGGAAGCTGCAACAAAGGGACACCCCTTTTGACAAAGAAGACTGTAGCATTCACTTTCTCGTGTGCAAGAGCAACCTGCTTGTGGGCTGAAAATGACTACACCACTTCCAGCAGACCCATAGACGCGGTGTTTGGCTCTGCAAGGGAGGAGTATAGATCCATCTCAGGGGCCCAGTGGTCCCAGTGCTTGGGCACAGATGTAGAGAGGGGGACATCTCCCCTCTGCCCAATTCTGTGGACATAGCTGTGGTCACTCGCAAAGGAGACTGGTGCAGACACACCAGAGGACAGACATTCTAGGTGTATTAAGGGTGGCTACATCTCCATTGGTGATGTGCCCAGTGAACCCAGGCTTGCAAGAAAGACAAGCTAGGGATATCTCACCAGGGTCTTCCCCTGACACCCCTGTCAGGGCTGGTGCTTGTGCTCATCCTTGGAGCATCCAAGGGTGAGCTTAGTGGTTCAGATCCACCCCGTTTTGTCCCCAGCTCCTCAGACCATTGTACCTTTCATAGATCAGTCCATTCCCTGGGGCAACAGAGAGTTTCTCCCATAAACAATGACAAGCACAGGCTCAACTGCTTCTGCTGCAGCTGGCTCTTGCCTGTCCACGCCACCTACTGTCCTGAATGTTAAACTGCACAGCCCAATGGAAAATGCTGACACTAGGGCATGATGCTGGAGAACGAAGTTAGTTTTCTGCGAAGTCTTCCATACCAGCCCTTCAGGAGGCAGTAAGCCTCGTCATGCACCCAGTACATAACTACTACAACCAGCAATTAAGAAAACCATCACACAAAAATTGTCGCTAACCAATGTACTCATACAGCGTCTTTACCATGGAAAGAACCCAGAACCTAAACCAAATAACTCTATACAACATACATCATAGTCATATTCTCAAAGGGAAAAACAAATCCTATCTATTGGAAACTACAGTCAAAAATAAGAAGAGATAGTTCATCTGGATGAGAAGAAACCATTGAAACATTTCTGGAAGTATGATTTAAAAGAGCATATTACAACACTCCCAAAGGATCACACTAACTCTTCAGCAATAAGTCCTAACCAAAATACAATCTTTGAAATATCAGATAAAGAATTTAAAACATTTATTTTAAAGTAGCTAAATGGAGTCCAAGAGAAAGTTGAAAAGCAACACAAAGAAATTAGAAAAGAAACTCAGGATATGACTGAAAAATGCACCAAAATATGTTTTAAAAAACAAACAGAACTTATGGTAATGAAAAATTCATTGAAGAATTACAATATATAGTTGAAAGATTTAATTACAGATTATATGAAGCAGAAAAACTTGCTCTCAGAGCTTGAAGACAGGTCTTTCAAATTAACCCTGTCAGACAAAAATAAAGAGCAAATAGCTTTTTTTTAATGAGCAAAGGTTTTGAGAAAAATGGTGTTCTAAAAAAAAGAGAAAACTTAAGAGTTATAGGTATTCTTGAGGGAGAAGAAAGAGCTAAAAGTTAGAAAACCTTTCTGAGGAAAATTTGTCTCCTCTTGCCTTCTTGGTAGAGATATAGATGTTTGTACACTAGAGGCTCAGATAACACCAGGAAGATACATTGTGAGATGAACTTCTACAAACATATAGTCATCAGGCTATCTAAAGTCAATGTGAATGGGAAAAATTATAGAATCAGCAAGAGAACACATCTAATCAACTATAAAGAAAATCTCATAAGACTAACAGTGGACTTCTCAGCAGAAACTTTACAAGCCAGAAGAGATTGGTGTCCTATTTTCAGAGTTCTTTTCAGAAAGATTATTTCATATTTCTTGAAAAAACACCTATTAGAGTTATATTTTGTATTTTGCTAAACTAAGCTTCATAAATGAGGAATACATAAAATCTTTCCAAGACAAGCTAATACTAAGGGAATTCATCACCAGTAGAAATCCACTTTAGGAATTCACCCCACAATAAATGATCCAGGTTGTTCTGAACATGAAATCAGATGGTCAATACTCACCATCATAAAGACATGCAAAAGTACAAAACTCACAGGTCTTATTAAATAATTACACAGTTGAGACTACAAACCAGCTAGGTAACAACTAACATAATGACAAGAACAAAACCTCACATGACAATATTAACTTCTAACATAAATAGATTAAATGTTCCATTTAAAAGATACAGATTTGTGGGCCAAATTTAGAAAACAGAAACCAACCACATGCTGCTCACAAGAAACCCACCTAACTGGGAGAAACTTATACAAACTCATGATAAATGTACGGAAACAGGTATTTTGAACAACAGAAACAAAAAGTATTTGGTATAGTTATATTTATATATAAAAAAGACTTTAAATCTACATCAGAAAAAAAAGAGAGTGAAAATCATTATATAATGATAAAGGAAGCAAGAAGATATAATAATTCTAAATATATACGCACTCAAAACTTCAGCACCCATATTCATAAAGGAAATGCTACTAGAGCTAAGTGGAAAGATAAACGGCAATATAATGAGGGCGAGCAAACTCCACATGCCCAATGACTGTACTAGCCAGATTTTCTGGAAAAAAAATAAACAAAGAAACCTTATACTTACATTGGACTCTAAAACAAATGGACTTTACAGGTATTTAAATGACATTCCACCCAGCAACCTCAGAATATATGTTCTTCACACCTGTGCATGGAACATTCTCCAAAATAGACCATATGCTAGGCTACAGCCACAAAGCAAGTTTCAAAAAACTTTAAAGCTTAGAAATAATATCAAGTATCTTATCAGAACATGGTGAAATATAACTAGAAATTAATGTCATAAATAATTCTCAAAACTATCCATATACATGAAAAGTAAATGACTTACTTCTGAGTGATTTTTGAGTCAGTGATAAAATTAAGATGGAAATAAAAAAAATTAAAACAAATGAAAATACAGACACAGCATATGAAAACCTCTAGGATATGGCAAAAGCAGTGCTAATAGGAATGTTTACAGTGTGAAATGCCTGCATAAAAAGATAGAAAAGTCATAAATTAACCTAACCTTGCACCTAAAGAAACTAGAGAAAACAGAACAACTAAACCCAAAACTAGCAGAAGAAAACAAATTTTAAAAAATCATAGAAGAACTAAGTAAAATTGGGACCAAATAAACAATAGAAGATCAAAAAACACAAAGTTAGTTTTCTGAGAAGACAAACAAGATTAATAGACCACTAGCAAGACTAATCGGGAGAAGAAGAAAAAAGGTTACAATAAACACAAGTACTTTACTTCCACACAAGTAGAAATAAAAAATAGAAACGTTGCAATTGATACCACAGAAATAAAAAAATCACCAGAGAATATAGAGAAAATGAATAAATTGATTAGCAACATACAACCTTCAAAATTGAACAAGGAAGGAATAGAAATACTGAACAGATCAATACCACCAATAACAAGCAGTGAGATTTAATCTGTCATAAAATCTCTACCAGTTAAAAAAATATAAAAGCCCGGTGCCAGAAGGATAAACGGCCAATTTCTACCAGACATACAAAGGAGAATCAATACCAATCCACTGAAACTGCTCCAAAAACATCAAGGAAGAGAAAATCTTCTCTAACTCATTCTATAAAGCCGGCCATCGACAGCAGAACAAATAAACTAGTGGCCAGTATCCCCATTGAGAATACCTGCTAAATCCTAAACGAATACTAGAAAATTTAATCCAACAGCATATCAAAGTGATG